ATATATATATAATATATGTGTGTGTTTGCGTGTCTGTGTGTGTGTGTGCGTGCGTGTGCGTGTGCGTGTGCGTGTGCTCGAGCTCGTGCGCGTGCATGTGTATATATACGTGAGTTTGTTTGCGTATATTATGTTTATGTGTCCAACAGCCCGTAACCCATAATACATATTATAGTACTGGTGTTTGTTTGTTTTTTCGACTTCCGACATTTCGAACTGCTTTCTTTTTTTTTTGTCAACAGGGCAAATACTTCATCGTACAGGACTCTAACGACACTTTGGACCTGCTACATACAAACAAACACATGTCCGCACCAAACTTCTACCAAGCCGGGGGCGATCAGCCGGTGTTTGCGTCAGGTCAACCAACGGTCAATGGGCTGAACGTTGTGCTCTCTCAGCTGGTTTCCGACGGCTATTCGGTGAGTATGCTTATTCCATAGATTTATAATAGACAGCTTTTGTGAGGCAGCGTGGTGGAATCAGGCTCTCGTCAAAATTATTAAAGTGAAAAAAACTTGCATTTTTCCGCAGGTTTGTGAATTTTTATCAATTTTTTGTTTTTTGGCTCAGCACCTTTCATGAAAATTAAATAACTCATTTCTGTGTGGATTTTTCTTTAAAACGTTGATTTAAGGCACAAAAAATGTAAATTTTCAGTTACCACAGATTCTAAAGCTAAGAAAATAACTCATCTTTGGCGGCCATTTTCTCATTAATTTTACCTCTTAAAACAGGTGACCCCCACCTCCTTCATTCGCAAATATCTCGACTTGTATTCAAGATTAATGGATATTTTTTTCATTCAAATAAAGACAAATGAACATGCTTTAATATGACACCAATAACTCTACATGCCCAAAAATTGACGAGAGCCTGATTCCACCACGCTGCCTCACATTTGTATAGCGCAAATCCCCGCTCAACAGCAAGCTCTATGCGCTTCATAATCTATACTATTACCCCAGCAGACCTGAGACCATTCTAAAACAACCTCAACTTCCTCAGAAGCGTACAGTGCAAGCAGCCATTTATGACGTGATAATATCAAAGACTGTCTATTCTGACGCACTTCCTGTTTACAATGGAGCGCACTATTTGCCTGTACCAGCTGTCAGCTCTGACAGCCACCTATATATAAGACAACTACCTGTACAAACGGCCACTTCCCATTTAGTGGGTGGTTGGTGGATGCTTTAGTGTGGTTTGCTTCTTCTTTCCTATCCAAAACTATCGTCCTTCTCTCTCCTTCTTTTTTGCGTTTGTTACTCTCTTGTAACACCTCTAATCTTCGGCACTTATATGACCTTATTGCGTTGCAAGTGCCGTAAAACTGTTACTAAAGCTAAAACTTCCCGTCCTCGCCTACCCTTGTGGGGGGTTTTGGGGTTTGTTTTTGGTGTTTGTTTTTTGTTTTATTTATTTATTTTTTTTACAATATAGTGACACTCTCTGAGACGGCCAACAGTGTATCCTCTAAAATGGGTGATTGTCTTCAACAAGTTTGACTGTATTTCGAACCAAATGAAGAGCAAAAAGTATAACGTTGCGCGCGCACTCCACTATTGTAAGACTGTTGTCCTCATCTCTCCAACTTCTTTTCTTTATATTATGTTACCCTCTCTAGTAACACCTCTAATCTTTGACACTTATTAAACCTATTTGTGTTGCAGGTGCCTTAAAACTCTTACTGAAACTCAAAATCATTCCCAAGATCCCCACTGGACCCCGCAATGACTATCTGTTCATTAATTCATTGCTGTGTGTGCGTTATCTTTGTCTTCACTAATTTACAAACGGTTTATATAGTGTAATAGTGGATGGTGTGTGTGTGTGTGTGTGTGTGTGTGTGTGTTTGTGTGTGTGTGTGTGTGTGTGTGTGTGTGTGTGTGTGTGTTTGTGTATAAGTGTGTGTGTAATTGTGGATTAATGTGTGTGAAAAAAGTGTGTGTGTGTGTGTGTGTTTGTGTGTTTGTGTGTGTGTCTGTGT